CTGGATCAGTTTATAACGGGACAGCTGTTTGTAGGGAGGGTGGTCAGCGCACCAGGGTTCCAAGTCACTCTCTGTTCTACTGATTCCACCTGTAAATGTCCCCTTCCTGCCCTTAGTGCCCTTCTAGATGACACTGGATGATTCCTACTCCAACTTGAGAGTGACAGGACTCTTAAAATATGTGTGTGAGGCTCCGGAGGGGCTAGAGGCCTGGCTTCTGGCCTTCCTGCTTGGGTCTGGGAAATGGGATGCCTGGGTTGGACTCCACTGTCAGGGAGTGGTCCCTCTTTGTGTTAAGTTCTTTGAAGAAGTGGAGGTGGTAGGGTGGACTAGGTTGGAGATGCTCTGGGGTTTAACAGAGAGTTAACTTTGCAGCCAGCTATGATTTGTAGGAGAGCTTAAGGTGGCAGAGAAAATCCTTTTCTTACATTCAGCAGCTTCTCCTAATCGGCTGCTTCTCCGGGTGGCCCTGCTTGGCTGACTGCAGATGTATTTTCTTCCCTCCATCCAGAGACCCAGGAGACCCAAGACAGGGTTAGTCTTCCACAGAAAAAGGAGACTGATCCCAGCGTCCAGAGCACAGGAGCTTGTAAATCAAACTGTTAGCTTAATGGCTTGGGCCATTATTCTAAAGCAGTGGGGCTGAAACCAAAAGCCAAATGAAAATATAGTCAATTTGTTCACACTTTAGTGACTGAAAGACTATGTAATGTTGGTGGGGATCGGCACTGCAGACAGGCAAGGGCAAGTGGGGAGGATGGAGTGTCTGGCCAGGGGGGCTGCGATGCACCTTGAGCAAAGCCCCCTTTCTTATGTGTGTAGGGGGGAGTGTAGGTGTGTGTGTGATGTGTGTGGTGAGGTGTATGTATGTAGTTGCTTGGATGATGCAATTGTCATAGGAATTGTCATCACCTCCCGAATATGGGACTACTGACTAAGTGAACACTGTGTAACTGGGGATAATGCCTCTCCAAACCTCCTCCTGCTTGTCTGTGTATCTTCCCATTTGTCAGTCTTGTCACCTCTCTGCCCTTCTTGTGCCAATTTAATGGCTGGTAACTCCACGGCAGCAGCAGTGGCTAAAGTTATTTTGGCTCAGTTACCATCATGTCCTTAGATTCTGACCAGGACCTGGCATGAAGGTATTCAAGGGAGAAATCTGTGAGTAAATGAGTGAATGTGTGGATGAGTAAATGAACTGATGGGAGAGTGAGTGAGTGAGTGTATGGATGAACAAATGAATAGATGAATGAATGAATGAGTGAATGAATGAATGAATGAACCATCACCTCTGTCCTCAGGGCATGTATTGCTAGCTTACTGTGAGCCAGGAACTCTGCTTAAGGCCACAGCATGTCCTGCCAGAGAAGTTCCTTAGCACAGTTTACAGAAAAGAACATAAGTCTTAGACAGGCAAAGCTATGTGACAGAACATTTGACTGCCGGACACTGGACACTCTCTTGCACACAGATACCATACCAGGCCATCCTCACCCTCCTGCCACTGGCCTCCATCCTCCCTTGCTGTCCCAGCACACGCAGCAGACAGCACAGGCGTCTCCATGGCACTGGGAACAGAAAGCATCAGCCCAGTGGATTTTCCTTAATGGGGGTGGAGGGAGTGATGACTCCATGTCCTTCATAGGAACTCAAGAGTCTGAGAGCTATTCTCCTAGTGGTCTGGGGTCTTTCACCTCCAAAAGTCTTCACTCCGCCTCCCACAAGGCTCCATGGCCAGGTAAGAGGAAACCATGGAGTCCTGAACAGGCCTCCCAGGCCTGAGCCTACTTTCTCCTTTTTCTGTGTGGAAATTGAGGCTCCAAACTCCCAGGCTCTCAATTGGGCCCTCACAATGTGAACATCCCCAGCTGGAAGGATCCAAGCCAAGCCTCCACCACGGCACTGCTACCTCCTGCCAATTGAAGGACACAGGCGCCAGAAAGAAGCCAGGGCCACCAGAGGCCCCGCCTGCCTGGCCCACTCCAGGGATGTGCCACTGCCTCGCTTGTGGTCCAGAGGTCTTCACAACTTCCCTCGGGGCTGGCTGAGAGGGAGCAGAAAGCAGCCTGTCTGACTCGGTGACCCAGCCGCGGAGTGGCTGCCCCACCCTGCCTGCTGCTTTTCCATGTGAAAGGTGTTTAATTATTTCTGACAGAGTTCAGCCTCGACATCTGTTCATGAGCGGGGAGGGTCCATTTAGGTTATCCATCACCGTGACAGGTTCAACTTTTTTGGAAGTGCATTTTCCCATCATAATGGAGCCAGGGTGGGGGCAGCAGATCAGCGGTGACATGCGACCCAGACAAAGACCCTCCTGGGGCTTCATGTACCATGAAACGACAGCAGCCTGACCTGGCCCCAGCGTGCTTTCTGAGTACAGGCCCTGTGTTGGCAGCAGGGACGTGGCAGTGCTGGGCATCTGTGTGGGTAGGAGGGTGTCATTGTGCCTGTGGGGGGCTTGGGGAAATCTTTGGTCATTCTGGGCTGGTTACTCATTCATTCATTCCAAGGGTTACTCACCACCTCATCTGTGTCAGGCGCTCTGCTTAGCTCTGGGGACATGACTAGGGCCTTGAAGCCTAGTTCTTGTGGACTTACACATTGTGAAGGAAGATGAAAGTCTATCTAGTTAGTCACCTGACTGCCAAGTTGCTAAGTTCTTCAAAGGGAAGCAGCGAGGCCTGAGGTGCCCCTTGGTGATGAGGGGGGACCTGGTGGTGTTGCCACAGAGGCAGGAAGGAGTCTCTGGAGCCCCAGGATGAAGACAGCTCTATCCTCAGCATCCACACTGATGCACTGGCACCTACAAAATTGTGCTCGCCCAACACTATGCTCAGTCAATATTGCTATTGGCCTATGTTCTATAATAGCAGCTTTCAGGGGTTTAAGAGTCTCTACTGGGCAGATAATGTACCTGAGAAGTCCTACTCAAAGAACCTGGCACATATGCTATGTTCCAGGGCCTCATGATGGGTGACTGGAGCACTAACTTGCAGGATCCCAGGGATGTCCTTGGAAGATACAGAAAGAAGACTTGGGGCTCACTGCCTTTCTGTCTCAACTAGTTAGTGTGTTACCAGCATGGGCACAAAGGCACAATCCAAGGATCCAGGCTAGCCAAACTAGAGAGTCTAGAGATGCACTGGACCCACTTCATCTGCAAGGCACAGTTGGGGTATTTGTTCTGAGCATAAATGACATCATCTACACCACATTTGCCACACATGTCATCTGCCACCAGAAAGAGTTGTCATTGCTGGGTCACTACTTCTCCTAACAGTACCTCAGAAGTCCTAATGAGCAGCAGAGCTCCCCAGACCCCGAGACAAACCCCCTCTCATGCAAACAGAAACACTGAATTATTTCTACCTTGGAGCTCCTGTCAGGGCCAGCTACTGTAAAAATAAAGGCCACCTGGAGGGCATCTTGTGCCTTTGGGAGCTGGGGGTCCTGGTGCCCCTCTGGCAATGTCACCCAGATGCCTACATGTATTTGGTCACTGGCATAATAGGGGGGAAAGGCCAATGAGGAAATGAAGCAGAGGAGGGTCCCAGGAGGAGGTTGTGAACAACTGAGTGCAGTACCAAGAGCTGTATGGGACACTCAGAGAGATGGAGAAATGGGAGAGAGGGAGGCCTTGCTGACAGGTGCTAAGAAGTGGCAGTGTGTCCGTGACTCCAACTACCTCCTGATCAGTGTTTGGTCATGTTCTTTCGATGACATTTGCTGTGATCTCAGTAGAGGCCTGGGCTGATGGGCAGGGGGCCGCATGGTCACTGACATATGTTGATGGGGGCCACTTGGGCAGGACGTGAGAGGCCGCATCCAGCAGGCCAAAGCAGCTTCCCTGTAGAAGCTCAGCAGCTTGTTCAAGTGCATTAGGCTCAGGAAGGCAGCAGCCCCTGCACTGTCTAACTTGCAGTTTTAGGCAGCACAGCCGGGCCGGCTGGCTGGCTGGGAATATTGCATGTGCAGCTGTCTTGATGGGGCCAGGGATGTCCCTCTTGACCTTCAGGAAAGACTCCTTCTGTCTGGGTTGGGTACACACAGCCTATGCAGCCTCCTTCTTGTCCTGGACCCAGCATTTTCAGCCCTTCTATTTCCCTTAGTCTATACAATGCTACTTCCCCCACCCTCCACATACCCACTGTCCTTGTCCTGCTGAAAATCGCTGAATGTGCATCTCTGTCTGGGTATTACAAGACCACATGGGTGAAAAAACACAAAGTCAGCTCTAAAGCCAGAGCATAGCCTAGCCCCTATATCACGATTCATCTTCACTCAGCACCTGCCTGGGGGGTGGGAACCTGAGGTCATTGCCTATCAACAGGGTGCCATCATTCAGGTGGATTAGCAGTGAGGACACAAGCTTGTTTCCCATCTGGGAACATCTCTCCCTTACAAGATACATTAGGACCCTGTCACTAGAACTATGCTTCTACCCAAGACAGCCTCTGCTTCTGGGTAGCCAGCCATCCCACGCTGAGATGACCTGAGATCTCCCAAGACTCTGCCTCTTCCCAGCATTCTCCATGTTCCCTGTCTATAAAACAGGTCAATATCAGCAGGTTACCCATGGGAGCTTATCAAGTGCCTTAGCTGAGGGCTAATGGGGTGGGAGAAGCAGAGACAGGAGGATACCCAAAAGCTGTGAGCCAGTTAGCCTTCTGTACAACCAACATGAGAGTCCAACTGGCTGCAGGTAAAAGACAAGGAGTGATACGCAAGGCTGTCTTCATCGTAGACCTGCACTCACAAACATACACACATATGCATACCACCCTATTCCTGGTCACACACTGAACACACATTTAGAAAAATAGAATCTCTGATGAGCTAAGTGGGCCTGAACCTGGATGGAGGAAAAGCTCACAGATGTCAGGTACCACCTGCTGTTGTGTTCTGAGCATCAATGGTCGGAAGCTTACAGAACTCTATGACAAGTGAGCATCAGCTAGCCCAGCTTGGTACAGAAGAAAGTGGATGAAAGGGCCACTGACCTTCTGGAAGTGAGGCATGTGCCAGAGAGCATCCAACTTCACGGGCGGCTTGTACTTCCTCAACTGACTGCTCCTTGTCTCATACAGCTTTCCCAGGATCACCTGCAGGCCAGAAAGGCAGGGGTGAGATGCCTGCCATGCTTCCTGGAGGCTTTAGAACCTCCATGGATACAAACCCTCTGAACATGACTGTGGAGTAGTGTCTAGATTGGGCTAATCGAGGAGAGAAGACTCACACTAATGTGAGCACTACCATTACACAGCCTGAGGTCCTGGACCGAATGGAAAAAAAGAAAGTGAGCTGAGCAAAGACATCCATCTCTCCCTGTTTGCTGGTTGATGGAATGTAGCTTCACCTCCATGCCCTCTCCACCATGATGTATAGACATATCTTCAAACAGTGAGCCAAAAGAAACCCTTCCCACTTTAAGTCATGTTTTTGTCATGCACATCATAGCAACAATACAATTAAAACACCAGGGCAATGACCAAGGAGCTCTGTGGCAGCAGCTGTGATTTTTGGGTGACAGGCTTGAGGGTCACTTTCCTCCAGGCTTTTCTCCTAGGCCACTTCACAGCCCAGTCCCACTGGCCCTGCCCCTGTGCACAGTTCATTGTTGCTTTGATTTCTGGTTCCCTTGAGCAGTAGCTGTGAGGATTGCCCTTACACCCCCCTAAAACTAACACAGTCCCTGTGGTTCACACAGAACCCTAGTATCTGTGTGAAGACATGTTTGACTCAACAGGGTGACACTGTCCCATGGAGCAGGTCCATATGATGGCCTGCCCAGGAGGAAGAAGGACAGTGAGTGTCTTGAGGAGGGCATGGGCTCCTCTAGAGCCTGGGCAGTCTTTCTCTAGGGGCTTTCAGAAGTGGGGGAAGCCCATCCCTTCTAAACCCACTAACAGGTATCAGCAGGTCCTGTGGCTCATGGTGTCTGTCCAGAACTGAGGTGTGTCCCTTTTAAGCTCAGATGGTGCAGTTGGTCCTAACCTTTCTGTGACTCTGTGTGGAGATGAAACTCATGAAGGACGGCTTTCAACCCAACACAATTAGAGCTCTTAGAACAAGAACTGTTTTGTTTGTTGTTTTTGAGACAGGATTTCTCTATGTTGCTCTGGCTGTCCTGGAACTCACTCTGTAGATCAGGCTGGCCTCGAACTCACGAGATCCACCTGCTTCTGCCTCCTGGGTGCTGGGATAAAGGTGTGCACCACCACTGCCCAGGCTTTAACTAGATACCTTAGGACAAGAGTGTGGGTGATCACTCAGGACACGGTGGCCACCTGTAGCCAAGCAGTGAGTCCTCAGCAGAGCACCTTGAACTTGAGTCACAGAGCTGGGAGATGTTAGAGCCTGGAGTACTGAGGTGGGGGATGGGAAGGCACAGACACCCCATGGGGTTCCCAGCCTCTCTAGAGGGGCCTCCTTGGCCTGCCCCTCTGCCTCCTTCCTGTAGTCTTTGCTGTGGGACAGGCCATGGAGTAGGCTAAGGGTTGGAGCTTGGCAGACCTACATCTGAATTCTACATGTTTCTATAAATGTTGCGGCACTATGTGTGGCATATGAGCCTAAGCTGTAAAAGGGCCTTCTCCCTGTTCCTAGAACTCTTCCAGCTGTTTTAGCCCAAAAGTATAGAACCCTAGGCCATGGCTTAAAGTGATCTAGGTAGAAGCAAATGTCTGTGACAACTAGAGAACTAGAGGAAGGGAAATAGGCTTTGTCTCCTCAGATTCATATGGTAGAGCTGTACTGTTAATGTAATGCCCACTAGTAATTTCCAAGCCTTTGGTTGGATATTCACTCTGCGTTCTAGAACAAGAGTGAGACTTTAAGTCAAGGCAGAGAAGCTATCTAGTCAGGTGGCCAAGATGGGCTTAAGAATACAACAGATAGCCCTGTGGTCTTCCCAATGCTCCGTTTCCCTGACTAGAAGGGGTGTACCAGTGTCTGATTAGCACAGTTCTTATAGGAGCTGCCCAAGGTTCATTAGATGTCAGTTGTCACCAAGAACTTCATTAGGGAGTCATTGCTGTCTAAGATCCAGGGTCCCCTCAGCAGCATGCGGGCTTATGGCAGAACCAGACTTCCTCTGGGATGTGGGTGGTTTGGCCTTGAAAACAGATCAAGCTTGGTAAATTGTGATCAGCTCAGACAGTGGCCCCAGAACCTGGCAGCTTCACGGAATATGCAAGACAACAAGATACCTACAAAGACTTAGAGCAGGGTTCTGGGGAGACAGTTCAGTGGGTAAAGCACTTGCCAGGCAAATTCGAGGATCTGAGTTCAGATCCCTGGTACTCACATAAAAAGCTAGGTGTGGTGTATGTGTCTATAACCTCAGCTTTGGGGAGGTAGAGATAGGCAGATGCAGGGGCTTGCTGGGCAGATAGTCTATATAAACCAGTGAGCTCCAAATTTAGTTAGAGACTGTCTTAAAAGACAAGGTGAGACCAGTTGAGGAAGCCAGTGTTGACCTGTGGCCTCTATGTATGTCTGTACACCTGAATGCATGTGCAACACACACACACACACACACACATACACACACACACGAAGAGAATTCTGAGGCTGGCTTTCTGTTTTCTGTGTGCCTGCTGTGTGCTAGAGCATAGGTCTCGGGACATTATACCCCAAACTACTACATCAGCCTCTCGAGAAGACATCCCAGGACATTCCTCTGTCACTCTCGTGCCGCCACCCTTCATCCTTGAGGTGGGTCCTGCATCCCAGGAAAGAGGCTCTGCCCTTCTGTTACAGGGCCCTGAGACCTCTGAAGGCTTGTGTTCCTGTCTCTGAAATGCAGGGCACAGAGGAAAATCCGGACACACTTACCGTGTAGATCATATTCTGCCTACTCCTTTCCCAGGGCCACCCACCACCTCCTCAAACCCAATGCAAAAATGCACAGGCCTGTTTCTTCAGATCTTCACATCTTTGCAGATTCCTGAACCGGGGGAATTTTAATCCACATGCTTTTTTCATGCTTGTTTAATAGTTTTAAAAATATACATGTGTATAGCTGTCTGCAAAGGTCAGAGTCCTCTGGAGCTGGAGTAACAGGCCATTGTAAGACACCAGACATGGTGCTAGAAACTGAACTCAGGTCCTCTGGGAAAGCAGTATGTTTCCTTAGCTCCTGGACCATCTCTCTAGCCCCTTTGCCTCGTCTCTATTTCCACATAGGCCTCAGCTATGAACCCACAGGGTAGGAAACCACTTCTACAAGGGGTGTGTTAAAGAATTGCTGTAAGAGAGTTCATGGTGCCTCTTCAGTTGATCCAAAACTGTGACTGCCAAGTCAGATCCTGCGCTTTTTAGATTTTCCTGGAAGAACAGCCCCAGCCGGGTATGGTCTCTCAAAGTCTGTTTGGAATATTTTAAAGGAAGAGACTTAGAATACTTTAAAATGTGTGGGGCAGCATAAAGAAAAGCAGGGAGCATTTCTCTGGTAAACTCTCACCAAAGCTACTCCCTGCCCATTGCTAATGACCCACATCAGGCAGCAGGAGGATTTTGAATACAGCAGGGACCGCAGCTCCCACTTCTCTGTGCTGCCCTGGCTTCTCCACACAGCTTTCCCTGCCTAGGATATAGGATAAGGATGTCTCCTGGGAGCCGGTATGAGAAGATGTGTTCCTCATGAGAGGATTTCTCACTACTTAGCAACAAAATGCTTTTTAGGAAAACATGTTCTTTAACATACCCTTGTAGAAGTGGTTTCCTACCCTGTCATACTAGCCAGTGTGGGAAGCATGTCTGTCTAGGCTGTGGCATTAGAGCCTAGTTTCCTCTGTAGGAAGTCAGACAGGAGTTCAGGGAAAGATCTCCATGAAAGTTGATGTGACTGGGTCCTAATCCCAGCTGGGAGGTGACAGGGCCTGCTGACTGGTGTCCAGTCATATTACACAATCCAGAATTAGGTACAAGGAAGCTGACCATTGCTGAGACTGGTCCAGATCTGAATTTCCCTGGCTCATGCCCTAACTACACACACTGATGCTGACTCTTCTCTCCCCTCCCTGAGCTTCAGCCTTTCAGAAGTGGGGACAGGGCTACCTTCTGTTTCTTCTCCAGTTTGATGGCTTGCTGAGTGGCCTTCTGTTCCTGTACCCACAGCTGCTGGTACCGATGTTGTAAAAGGTCAAAGAAGGGTGTGGATGGCCTGCAGAGAGAAGGTTACATAGAGCTTGAGGCCTGGGGATGACCAGGACACCCACATACAGAACAGACCCCTCTCTCCACAGGACACAGGCCCCACTGTCACAAGCTACAAGCCATATCACCCTCCCCAGGGTCAGAAAAATCTTCCTATAGCACCCAGAAACAAAGAGACTCAGATCCCATGCACAAACTGCTCTGTCATCATGGGGAGCCTCCATGTATGAACTGGATAGGACAGAGATTCTGTTCTTGGACTGATGTTGAACAGGGTTCATAGGTTCCTTGGATCTGTTTCTGCTCTGCCTCACCCACCCTGGCTCTGCCATTAGTCTACTGAGGCTAGTCTTGCAGAAGACTCCTGCCAAGCAGGTGGACTAGCCTCAGTGTCTGATTTCCCTGAGGAATTCTTAGCCTTGGTGTCTCTTTGTTCTGGTCCACCTCACCAAGAGTGCTGCCAGGTTGGATGTGCAATATGCTCTCCACCTTTGAGGGTCTCTTCTCACTCAAATTCGATCCCTGCCCTGGAGGCTTTGTCTCCACATTTGTTAGTCCCACTGGCCTGGTGGAACTAATCTCAGCTTTGCACAAGGACCCATCTCTTTCTGAAGCAGCACTAGATGTCTTCATTGCTTGTATCTTGGAACATTGAGCCAGTCCTGAGTGCTCTGCAGGTACTGTCTGTTAGGTACTCTCTGCAGGTACCACCCTTTGTCATCTCAGCTGTAAGGAGGAGAGACTGGTCCCAGAGCAACGTAGGGCAGCGCTCCAAGTGAGGTTGCTTGATCCACAAACCTCAAAGCTAACAGATGTAAGTCCTTCCAAGATGGGCGGGGAACTGATCCCACATTGGGGCTGAGCTCTAAACATCTTGCAAGATAGAGTGTGCAGGCCCCCTGTATAACAAGGTTGTAAAGAAAGGAGACTGTGGTGCGGCCATTTCTTTTGCCTTCTGTCTCTGTGCCCCTCACAGAGCTTCCAGCAGCCCCATGTTGGGCCAGAGTATTTAGAAGTTTACCACCTCTGTGGTCTGTCCCAGCTACTATGAGAAGAGCCAGGAAAGAAATTGCCATTTTCAGTGGAAAACAAGTGATAGTTACTGGCTATGATGACTATGTACTTTGGGTGTGGATGGGCTGTTCCCTTCTTTATAGTAAGACACAGAATGAAGACTGTTTTAGAGATGTGATCTGAAAATTGGATTAAACTCTTGAACTCTTACTACTAAATAAAATTGTAAATAAACTAAAAAAAAAAAAAAAAGGTGCACAAATGTGTAGAGTAAAAGGCTCTATCAAAAGGAACCGACCCTGGCTCTGAAACCAGAGCCAGTGAAAGAAACCCACCTTAACCCTGAAACCAATGCCAAAGAAACACACTTTGCCCCTAGAATCAGAGCCAGTAAAAGAAATATGCCCTGACCCTAAAATTTGAGCCAAAAGGCTAAAAAAAAAAAAGGGCCAATGAAAGAAACACATTTGGGCCCCGAAACCAGAGCCAAATCTGCACCTAACCAACTAAGCAGAAAGCCAACCAATCCCTGAGCAAAAAAACCAACCAGTTCCTGAGCATGAGATCTAGCCAATCTGAGCTCAAAGGACTGAAATCTGACCAATTCCCACCCTGGAAATCTCCTTCCTGGAAAAACTCTGCCCCTAGAAGCGTGATATAAGCCCCACACTTGTTCAATTTGCTGCTGCCCTTTTCCACCCTGGCAGAGGCAGAGACTGAGCTGGGTGAGTGCAATTGCCTGGGAAACCTTCCCCTAGTGAGCGGAGTTGCTACGCTTCTCCTGCTGGAGCAGAGCTGGTATACTGGAGAAGTCTTTCCCTGAAGCAGGGCTGTAAGCTGCTGTTACTGTGACCTGTGGTATTCCTTGGCTCCTGAGTGCCAGAATACCTTCCCATCTGAGCTGTAAGAGTATTCCTTGACTCACGACTGCCAGGATCCCTTTCTGTCCAAGGTACAATGCTTAAAAAATGGACAGTGGCCATGTACAAAGGAGAACGCTGATACTCAAGTTCAGAACCTGCCCAAGAGGCAGGCTTCTTGCCTATACCACCTAGCCAGGAAGCCAACAAACTGCTTATGGTGACCGGACAGGAAGCCATCCCAGTCTACTAAACTTGAAGAAAATAAAGCTATACAGTCCCATAACCCCAACAGTCAAGAGGTAAAGGCAGGAGAAGCACAAGTTCAAGGTCACCTTCAGCTATGTGAGTTTGAGGCCAGCATGGTTTACATGAAACCCCATCTCAACTCCCCACCCTCCAAGAGTTAATTTTTAAAATTTATTTAACAATAGTATTCATGTTGGGTACAGTGAGGAGGACTCTGTGGGCTAGACCCTGTCTCTAAAAACATGTGATAATAGAGGCTGGAGAGATGGCTTAGCAGTTAAGAGCATTGAGTGCTCTTGCAGAGGACCCAGGTTCTGTTCCCGGCACCCACATGGCAGCTCACAACTATCAGTAACTTCAGTTCCAGATTGGATGTTCTCTTCTGGCTTTCAATGGCACCAGGCACTCACTTGGTACATAGCTATACATGCAGTTGAAATACCCATACACATACATAAAAATATTAATATGTAATAATAATTGATTAGGATACTCAATAGAGGAGTGGGTGATGCTCATTAGTGGTGGCTAAAACAGCTAGAAGGCTAATGGGAAATGCCCGGTGGATGGTCACTTCAGCCTCAGTTCAGAATAGCCGGCTCTTATTGCTATTATTTTACCACTGTGGTAAACAGCCACAGTGAAAGTCAGAAGTTTCAATGATGGAGTGCTTGCCTAGCTTGTGTGAGTCCTGGGTTTGAGGCCCAGCACAGCAAACCAAATAAATGATCATTTTAACCTTGCCAGTGGTGGCCAGCAAAGACTATTCCAGAAACCTTGCCCTGGGAGATGTGTGGAATCTTCTGCCATGTGTGTGGAGAAAGGTGACCAGCCCTCCAGACCAGCACTCTCCAATAGAATCACCACACAGACTGCAAGTTAGAGCTTCCTGGGGCCACCAATGAGGTGAGGTGACACCTCAGGGTCAGACTTCTGGCCTCCAAAGCTGTGAGAACCTGAGCCCATGTTGTTTTCCCTGCTCCAACTTCTTCCCTAACCTCCTTTGCCCCTCTTTGAGGCAACTTGTTAAGGAGGCCCCAGGATGCTCTGGGAAATGCTGCATCAACTGCTGTCTGGGCCTGAACTGAAATCAAAGCCAGAAACACTTTAGACAGTAATGTAGGGGCTCTCTCACTCCTGAGACTCACAGCCGGGAAAGCTCGGGACACTGTGACAGTCACTTCTGAGCTGCGTAGAGATACCCATCTGGATGGTCATTGTAGTAATAGTTGTCAGGAGCCACTCAAACCTGGGATGAGTAGTAGAGACACAAGAGAAACAAGCCCCTCCCTCCCCCGTGTCTGCCCAGCAAGGTCCAGAGGCTGCAAACCTCTGCCCCTGGACTGGTTGGATCTGGTCTGTATGGTAGCCCCAAACGTCTGAAATCATTGACAGCACTTAGAAATATGGATGGCTGGGACCGGGCTGATGCTCAGACTGTGAAGTGCTTGCTGTGCAAGCGCGGGGACCTGACTCCAATCCCCAGAATCTCTGTTAAAACTAAATAACTAAATAAATGGCAAAAACAGCCCACTGTGGTGGTATGCACTGGTGATCCTAGCACTGTGGGATGGGGCAGGGAGGAGACCAGCAGGTCCCTGGGTCTCCCTGGCCAGACAGCCTAGTCTACTTGACAAGCACTAGGCCAGTGAGAGACCCTGGCTCAAAAAATAAGGTAGACCTCTGAGGACTGACACCCACAGTTGACCTCCAACCTCCACATGTATGTACACACATGCACACCTCCGGCACGCTAATAGGATAGTCAGTGTTTTAAATCAACTTTTTAGATTATTGTGTAAACGTTCCCTAATTCCCAGTTGGTGTAATTGGCTGGCACTGAGTGCCAGCTGCCATTAGCCCCAGTTCTCAGCCTTCCCTGCTGCCCTGGCACTGGTGAACTGTAATCCCTGACCCGATCCCTTCAGTGAGTAAGACCGTGTGGCCGCAGAGACAACCAGATAGTTAGCCAGGACCCTAAATGTCCACCCACTTCCCCAGCCTATTGTGACTTGTCATGAGGGCACAAGAGGACCTGGGAACCTGGCTAACTTGGATTCTATTTAAGAAGCGGCCCAAGGCTTTGATTCGCATAGACAGACAGTGGCTCTTTGTTCCTGCCTCCCGTACCCCTGTGGTGACTTTTATTACTTAATTATTACACACCCCATGCCTCTGAGCAGCCTAATTTATAGCCATGCTTTCTAACGACACTGTGTGCGTAATCTGGAAATATCTACCCCAAGAGGCTGCTCCCAGCGAACAGCCCTCTTCCCCGAAGCCCCACTGAATCCATCACTTCATACCAGCTCTTCAGCCCTCCCCCAGCCTGGCTGACCGACTCTGCGTCCTGCCCTGGCCAGCCCAGCAATTCTTATTCTCTGAGAAGAGGCAGTGGGGGCTGAGCCAAGGGGAACCTACAATGCCGTGAGTTATGGCAGGCAGCTCTGGCCTAGGTCCTCCATGGCCACCCACAAGCTGGCTAGTTTCTGTTCTGGCTCATTAACGTAGATAAACAGGTGCAGAGGCTGGCCTGGTGTGGAGAAAACTCAGGCCATAAATTGGATGTTATCGCCCCTGCATGGTCTCCAGTTTCCACGCTAAGCCTGGACTCTCAGCCCTGGTCCACTAGGCTCAGCTTCTCTTCAACTCCTGGCATTCACTCTACCCTGCATGGCTTCCTTAGACTTTCAGCCCTTTCCTTCTGGGTGGAGTTCTTCTTGCCAGCACATACATGCATACCCCCATATGTCATCTCTCCTTTATACATGAGCCTCAATTGTGGGGTTGCCTCCTCCAGAGGCTAGGTGCCCCTTCCACCGGAGTATAAACCCGTTTATCCCTCTTCTGGCCCCAGTGGACCTCAACCCTTGAATGGCAGCCA